ATGTGTGACTGTAAGAAATCTTTTTTGTGTTGTCCATCGTTGTATATTTTGAACGATGAAGCTAAGATCACCCTAAACTGTAGAAAGGATTTTTTTTTTGCCTTTGTAGATTTCAGGGTGGCTTGTGTATAGAAGTGAAAAACAGGAGCTGGAGAGATGGTGCAGCTGTTATGAGCACTGCTTGCTCTTGCAGAGAACCCAGGTTCGATTCCCAGCACCCACATGGAGGTACAAACCCTCCTTAACTCCAGTTCCAGGCGAATCCGACGCCCTATTCTGACCTCCACGGAATTGCAGTACACGGGTACATTCACATACATGCAGGCGATACACTCATGCACATAAAAATAAAAATAATAAATATGTTTTAAAAAGAAATGAACAACAAAACTGCAGGATTTGATTTAAAGTCCTCTTGCATTTTGATTTACGTCAGGACTATGTTTGCATTTGCTTCATCATCAGAAAAGGGGAGTGTGTTGGATAGTTTTAGTGTCAACTTGACACACCTGGGTTGAGGGAGCCTCAACTGGGGAATTGCCTCCATAGGAGTGGCCTGTGGCCATGTCTGTGGGGCATCATCTTGACTGATGAGTGATGTGGGAGGGCCCAGCCCACTGTGGGTGGTGCCACCCCTGGGCAGGTTGGCCTGTGTTGCATAAGAAAACAGGCTGAGCAGGGGCCAGAGGAGCAAGCCAGTAAGCAGTGCTCCTCCATGGTCTGTGCTCCAGCTCCTGCCTCCAGGTTCCTGCTCTGAGTTCCTACTTTGGGCTCCCAGATGAACTGTGACCCGGGAGTTGTAAGATAAAATAAACAATTTCCTCCCCAAATTGGTATTGGTCAGAGTGTTTTGTCACAGCAGTGGAAAAACAAACGAGAACACGGTGTAATTCTAATTTCTAGTAATAACCTATGCGTGAAGTAAGAATCCGAAGGACATTTGTGACCAACTGCTTCACAGAAAAAGCATATTAGGAGTCATTCTTGAGAAAGTAATGCAGGTACTTTTTTGTATCCACCCTTGATAAAATCTCTCTCTTCACAGAAGGCATAATCATTGTAAGGAGTGGAGAATATAGGCAGATCAGAAGTATCGCTGTGGCCAGGCTTCATTTAAAGCCTCCTTTGGAGATTGGCCCCAATAGTCTCCTTGAATCTATACCTTGTTATAGATTAACCAATCACTCTCTGAATCTGTGGTTTAACATGTCTGTGCTCATTCGGTATGTAGTATAAATCAGATAGTAACCAAAAACTTTAAGAACAGAGCAAAGAAATGTTTCAATTCAAGGTATCACCCATCAGAAACGCCACAGAGAGACCGGTGGTTGTTTCAGGAGCTTAAATGGATCACAGAGCTTTAAATTCAAACTTGAACTTACTGGAGTCATGTTCGGCAGATCACGACTGAGTCAGTCCTGGGATCTTTATAACTTTCATCATAAAAGGTGGCTGGGTTCAAAACCAGTTTGTCAGATATCTTTCATGAAATCTCCACGGTGAAACCAGGGCTATAATTTGAACAGTGCAGAAGATCACGTGTGTATGCTCTCTGACAGTCTTTCAGGTGCAGCCCAGAAAGGATGCAGCTTGCGTCTCTGGTTGTCAATATTCACAGAAGCCTCCAATCAACTTGTGGTTAGATCTGCTACTGCTACTCCCAGACGTTCCTGTTGGGGCCTGTCAGTCACAGGGTAAAAGAACCGGAGGATCAAGGTGGGGCTTTGTTGTTTTGGTTTTGTTTCTTGGTTTTGTTGTTTTTTACTGTTTTAAGTTTAGGAACAACCAGCAACCAGGTGCACCTAGATGGGGGAACTGAAGTGATAGGAACCTACCTAGGGGACAAATGTGATAGAGTGAATTCCATTGTTCATTGATAGCTTAATCATACGTCCTGTTGCCATGTCTGGCCTAGTGATGTTGAGATTGGGGAATCTTCCCTTTATTTGTGGACCTGCAGACATAGGATGTAAAGGACAGGCAGCAAAACTGATGAATGGATGGTAACACCACTGAGGAAACATTCCTGTCTGTTCCCTGACATTTACAAGTGTCATTTCTCAGGAAGAATTTGTTGACCTGATGTGGGCCCACACTTTCAGATTCAGTTACTGATTGGTAGGGTGAATACTAATGCATCTTTGAAATCTCACCAGTGAAGCATGTCTCTGGATAGGATTCCTAGATTAAACCTCACCCATCCATGGCTCAGGAACCATTGCAGAAGAGGGGACAGAAAGGTTGTAAGAGTCGGGGTTGTTGCATGAACTCAAGGAAAGTCTCCCGGCCACTAGGATCTTGCTCATATGAACTTACAATAACTGTGACATTATGCACAAGACCCATGCCAATTGAATCACACAAAAACCCAGCATAGCACAGCTTTCTAGCCTGAGCATATGAAATACTTGTGTATTTTTCATTTTGCTAGAAACTCAGTTCACATCAGCAAACTATGCATCTACTAGAAACTCTAGGCAAATTAGAATGCTTCTGAATTATCCAACTTTTTGGTGTTAACTAGAAAATCAGTGCTATAGCCAGGAATCTTAATCACTGCTTCTCAAACTTTCCTCTGCTTCTGAATCAGGTAGAGGGCTGGTTAAAGCAGATGTCAATAGAACCATTTTCAAATAGAGTTGTTTTTCATTTGTGGGAGTGGCCCCTAATATCAGACTCCCCATACATACCTAGAAGATGCTAATGCTACTGATGTTGGAATCACACAAATGGAACTGTTTTTCTAAAATAATCTGTACTGAGTAAATGAATCTGAATATCCGACTCGATCTCTGTAATGCCTGGCATGGGTCACAATGCTCACCTACATTAATAGAAAAATTTTAAAGTTATTTATTTATTATATTTTGTGTGTGTGTGTGTGATGTGTATGGGTGTGTGTGATGTGTATGGGTGTGTGTCTGTGAGCGGATATGCTATAGAAAAGGAGTGCTGGTCAGAGGACAATTTTGTGCAATTGTTTCTCTCCTTCAACATTTATGTCCATCTAGGTGACGAGCCTCAGGTCGTCCAGCTTGTGCAACAAGAACATTTTCCTTTTAGGCCATCTTGTTGGCCCTTAATAGGAATAAAAAAACTAGCATGTAAAAATGGAAAAATGAATTTACTTAGAGTTATCTTCAAAAGTGTGGAGTGAAAGTTTCTCAGTCTTTCTTGGCCTTGCCAACAGCAGTTTTATAATATAGAGAAGGAATAAAATGCATCTGTAGATATAACTGTGAACAGTGAGGAACAGAGGCAGGGAGACACAGACTAATAGCCACCAGCAGCCTAAGGAGTCTCCTTTCACCTTAAGTACTTCCTCTCAGATGAAGGCTGTTCATTGATTGTGCCACAGAAATAATTTCAGGAGAAGCCAGACTGAAGCGAAGTTAGTGAGGTTACTAAATGTTTTACCATGTCTTATAATGGGAAAAAAACCAGCGTACCATCCTGAGAGATGTCTGTGGGTTTCTTAAAGGAAAGTTGCTCTTATATGTCTTTATGATGGTTATCATTAAAGAACATAACTTACAACAAGGTATAATGATTCAACAAAGGTTATGATTTAAATTGTTGGGTTTTTCTTTGGATTTTTGAGGAAGGGTCTCATATAGCTTAGGCTTGCTTGAATTTCATATATAGCGGATCCTGTCCTTTAACTCCTTGTTCTTCTATCTCTATTTCCCACGTGATGTTGTACGCATGCAGTACATTTTGAAAATTTATGACCTGGCCAGGCATGGTGGTGCAGGCCTTTAATGTCAGCACTCGGGACCAATCCAGAGAGATCTCTATAAGTAAGAAGGCCAGCCTGGAGATTTCCAGGCCATTCAGGGCTGCAAAGTGAGACCATGTCTCAAGAGACACACATACACACACCCACAAACACACCCACACACACACACACACACACACACACATACACATAGACACACACACACAGACACACACAGGTTTGCTTATGTTTACTCACTTTTTTATCATACAGAATTTCCTTTAGTCAATGAAATTGTATGGTGGTTGCATGAGAATGCAGTTCTTAGATTTGGAGATGAGAAAGGCGTGCCAATATGCTAAAAGTCAAGCTTACAAATATTATGGTCCTATTAAGCATAGTTTAATTTGCTGTTTTTAACATCTTTATTTGGATGTTTAGGAAAACACAGGGAGACAATTAACTTAAGGCTATTTTTGCTTTAGGAGTTATGTTGAAATTTCTTGACTCTGGCAATAAATAATGCAAGGGGATCCCAGGATATGAAGCGTCTTTCTGTTCTCATGTCCACGTAATTTTCCCTGTCTGTTTAATATGCTTCTGACTGAAGTTACCACATGCGGGAAGTAGGTCTTACACCACGTCTAATGCCATAAACCATTTTCTCTTACAAGCAGGACATTTCCAGTAGATATCCTGATTCCTAGGGCCCTTAAGTGAAGGACATTTGTGAGGAGGGCTAGGCACACAGCCAAAGGTCACATCTGAATGGAATGTCTTCCCTAAAGACAAAGACAAATGGATTTTGTTCCACACTACATAGAAAACATACTTAATTTTATTTGTACGTCCATGTATATTAACAGATTAAATATGTTGTTGGGGTTGAACATGATGTCATGCTATGTGCATACAATGTAGAACTATCAGTTTTGGCATAGACATTCGTCTCAGAATTTTTGCCAATAGCCCAAGATATACCCCCTTAGCAATCATCAGTCAAGGATGAGTCCTAATTAAGCAATGTTAAGGAGTTGATGAATTAGGGGTAACGGGTAATATACACTTGGGATTTAATGTAGGCATTCAGGGAAAGAGGACAGTACCCACAAGATGTGGTGTGGGCATCCCATGAAGGGGAATTATTTCAAAGTGTCTGTTTTTAAAATATTCTTATTAAGATATATTATTTATGCAAAACACTGGGTTTCATTATGGTATTTAATACAGGTACATAATGTATTTCAATCTTGTTATCTCACAATACCCTCTCTGGTCCCCTTTCCATTCTGGCTAATTCCCGTCCTCTTCCCCTAAATGTCTTATCGATAGCTATATATAGAATTTTGTGCCTTTTAGACTTAAATTGCTCAAAGGATATAATTAATAATGAGGTTCAAACATTAAGCAATATTTAAAACTTGAGTTTAAAATTAAAGAAGGAAATGCATAAGCTGGTCAACTTAATTTACAAAGAGCTTCCTTTATGTAAATGTACTTGTTGGGGTGGCTTGTCTTTTTGTCAGCATTGCTTTCTCTAAAAATTTAACAAGGTTCTATTGAGAAACTTTGTATAGGTTGGAGAGTTTGGGAAGGGAATGAGTGCCAAACTCACATTACAGCAACAGTGACAAGTTTCAGATTATTGTTGAAACATGGTTAGCACAGTATTGCCAGCAAATAATACTCAAAAATTATGGTAGACATAGAGAATTGTGAATTACATTATACAATTACATACTTTTAGTTTGAGAATTATATCAGCATAGTTATTACAGTAGTTTTGTTCTTTGACTTCCCAGACTCTGATTTTTATCTCTAGAATTTCAATTAGGTGTTTAGCACTTTCTGCAGGGCATAAGTGAAGGCACACTGTGACTGCAGACAAATCATAGAAAAATAATGGTGGGCTGGAGAGACGGCTCAGCAGTTAAGAGCACTGGCTGCTCTTGCAGAGGACCAGGGCTCAATAACCAGAGCCCACCTGGTGGCTGACGATTGTCCCTAACTCCAGTTCCAGGGGTTTGACATCCTCTTCTTACCTCGGTGGGCATTGCATGGCATGGGTGCACTTAGTATATGCTGGCAAAACACTCATACACATAAAAATAAAAATAATTTTTTTAAGAAAGAAAACCATGGAAAACATCTTGGTTCCTGGGAGTGGGAGAGGCCTGATATCAAGGCATGAATACATAGGACTACATGTGTAGTTACGACCACAGCTGGCCCTCAGGGGCAGTGGGAAGTCCACTGTAGAGAATTAGTCCTCCCAAGACAGAATCTACAAACAACAGAGACCTCCCCTGTCCCCAGCATAAGCCCAACAGAGACAATACCATGCACAACCTGGGACCTCAAGGGAGGGGCCTGTGGGGAATGAGCCAACCCCTTGAAACTGTGACCCAACATTGGGGATCTATCCTCTAATATGCTCCAGCATCAACCTAAAACAGAGAAACATGAAATCATGGCTTACAGTAGGGGACCAACGCTCCAGGCTCATGTGAGGGGACCATAGCTCCAGCTCACAGGAAGGGACCACAGATCCCAGTTTATAAGAGGAAACCAAAACTCAGTTCATGAGAGGAGAACACAGCTCCAGCACACAGGAGGAGACAACAGCTCTAGCTCACTGTGAGGGGATCACTGGTCTAGTTCCAAGGACTCCAGGACCTTACCAGAGGTCCAGCTCCCAGGAAGGGCCCAGAGCTCCAGCTCACAAGAAGGGACCTCAACTTCAGCTTTCAAGAGGAGACCACTGGTCCAGGATCACAGGAGTGGACCACAGCTCCAGCTCTCAGGAGGGGACCGCAGTTCCAGGTAAATGTGAGGGGACCATAGTTCTACCTCACAGGAGGGGACATTCACTCTGGCTCACAGGAGGGCACCACAACTGCAGCTCACAGGAAGAGATCACAACTCTGGCTCACAGAAGGTGCCACAGCTTCGGGCTCATGGAAGGGACCACACGTCAGGTTCATGGGATGCAACCACAGTCCCAGGTTCACAGGTGGGACCAGAGCTCTATCCCACAGGGGAAAACCATAGCTCTAGCTCACAGGAGGGGAGCACAGCTCCAGACCCATGGGAGATAATCACAGCTTCAGGCTGATGGGAGAGAACCATGGCTCAAAGCTCATGGAAGGGAACCACAGCTCCAGGTTCATGACTGACAATCATATCTACAGGCTCAGAGGAGAGGACCACAACTACAGGTTCCTGGAAGGTGATCAAAGTTCCAGGTTCATGGAAAGGGTCACAATTTCAATTTCTTTGTTTCCTACAATTTCCCTGTCTTCATCGCTCTGCCATATGATCATACTTGTGTTTAAGGTAGAGCATTTTCACTTCTCTCTAGCAAACAGAGGCAACAAGTACTTTCTGGCTTGAGTTTCTCACTAGAGAGAACATCAGTATTAGGGGAAAACCACCTTTCACTTTTGCTGAAGGAGACAGATGGACCCCATGTTTACAACTTCCTCCCTGGTCAGGGGGAACCAGTGATCAGAAATCTTCTTAGCAGAGCCACATTTTGCTGAGAGCTGCCACTGTTGTCAACTTGGCTCTCCAGCCATTTTCTTTCTTATTTGCAAAGTCTTTCTTGCTTTCACCCTGCAGTCAGCTCTTGTCCTCTTTGGAGTTGGTTACCTGGTGATGATGGCCAGCAGACCATGGGTGTGTCTTCCTTCAGGCCCAGCCCCTGGCAAGAGAGGTGTGTGGGTACTTGGCAGAGTGGAGTACAAACCCTCAGTTTTTGACTAATCACAAGGTATTCAAACTTTAACCAAAGGATATTCTTATACCCACTGGTGAACCCCACTGCTTGGCAGAGAGCACTCCACAGGAAGCATTCACGAACCTTGTAAAGGTGTTTTTATCAGCTGTATTGTGAGGATTCTCCAGGAGAAAGGAGTGCCTAATATGGTTAAATTCAAGATGACAAACATCCTGCTCTAGGAAAACACAGTTTATTTGTTGTTTTTACCAACCTTGTTTGAGATATCCTTGGGGGGAAAGGCATAATTTAAGCAGGCAATTTGCATTTTCACAGTTTTGCTGAAGTTTCTGACTCTCAGTCAGCAG